TTTTTTAAATATTTTACCTACAACTTGTTACTTCAAGTCTTTTAATCTTTTAAAATTTTATTTTTAAAAATAGATTTTAAATAATTTTTTAAAAAATGTTTAAATTACTTCTTTTTAATGTTTCATTTAAAAAATCAAAAAAAAATTTTTTTAATAATTTTTTAAATAAAAATGTCAATTTTATGATTTTCTCAAAATTTTTTTGACTCTTGTTTCCATTTCCTAAACTAATTTAAAGGAAAAAAAGAGAATTATTTTTCAGAGGAAATAAAAAAAAGGAAGAGTTAAGATCAAGCACAACAAATGGTCTTTTTAAAAGAAAAAATTAAATAAAAATATATTTAATCATTTTGGTGCTATTCTTAGACAAAAAGAGAGAGGAGAAGAGTGGAGATTTTATTGGAAAAATAAATAGAGAGGGCTAGGAGGTGTTTTAACACCTGACAATTTTTTTAGAAAAAAATTTTTTATTTTTGATTACAAAAGTAAATATTGGACATAACAATCAATCAATCAGTCAGAAAAAAAAAGATTTTCTTTTTTTGCTGAGTTTTTTTATTGCACAAAGATTTTAGAGAGTTTTTTAAATCTTTTTTAATTAAAGTTTTTAAAATATAGCCGCCACCTTCTTCTCTCTTTTCTTTTTTAAAAATATTTTTTGTTCTCCTTTCTTTTATTAAAAATGTTCACAAAAATATTTTTGGTTTTTAATTGTTTTAAATAATTTTTAAAAATATTTTTTTTTATTTTTCTAAGCCTAAATTGTATTATAAATTCGTTGAGATAATATCAAATTATTAATTTTATTTAAGCTAAATCACTTCTCTACAACAAATTAACCAAAAATAAAGCAAAAACTAAAATTATTTAGAAAATTTTTGGTACTAATGCATTATCCCCCCCTCCTTTTTTTGATTTTCTTTCATTTCCTTCTCTTCTAGAAATCATAAATTATCAATAGACAATTATTATAGAAAATCCTGAATGTGAGATCCCTCGAATGTGATATTTACCCATCTCTAAGATAATAAATAAGCGATTGTCATCATTATTTTGGAAGCCAAGCTTCTATTTTTTACAAAATAAATTCGGTTCCCCTTTGTCAAGTTCCCTATTTTATATTAAACCCTGGTCATTATGCCGTCATTAAAAAAGAAATATACAAAAGAAAATAGGGGAGATAATGTGATACTTTGTACCAAATTTTTTGTTTTTTAATGATTTAAAAATTATTTTATTTTAAGAATATTTTTGTTTTTAAAAAAATATTTTTTTATAAAAAGTAAAAAAGAATATAATAATGAGATGAGTGATAAATAATGATGAAATAATAAAAATAACAATAATTAGCATTTTTCTGCTTTAATGAATAAGCTCAATTAATAATAAATATATATTTATATGGTCTATTTATTATCGCCCAAAAATGCGTAAAAATAGAGCAAAAAATTATTTTTTAAAAAATAAAGAGGATAAATAAATAATTCTTTTTTTATGTTTTATTTTTGTTTGAATCTTTATTTTTATTTTTTTAATGTATCAAAAATTATCAACCAATACCTTTTGTTAAGAAAATTATTTTATTTTATTTACATTTTTAGAACAGAAACATTAAATTGACGTTTATATTAAAAATTGTATAATTATCCTCTCTAATGTTATATGTATATCCCCCCTTAACTTTAAATTAAATTTACAAAAAGTATTGGATATACTTATTAAAAAACTTATTTTTTAATCATGCCGCATGTTTATATTTTTTTTCTTATTTTTTTAATTAAAAAATAATTATATACTTATATATTTTTTAAGCAAAATTCCCCAACTTCTTCTACTCCTTCTACCCGAGCATCCTCTTCTTCATTTTCATTCTTTAATAGCCGAATATTTGGCTCTTTTTTGGCAAATAATTCTTCACATCCAATGATGTTTGACTTCCCTACTTTGCCCCCTCATTTGCTCGATCCAAACGGTTATGCTCAATCTCCAGTTGGCCAATTAAGTCGAAGCAATGCTGTTTTAATGAGAGAAAATCAACAATTGACTAATAGAGTGCAGGTAAATTTTTGAAAATAAAATAAATAATTGGAAAAATAAAAAGGATTTGATAAATTTGATAAGAATTAAGTACTTTCTTGGATTTCAGATCCACAACATTCAGGTAGAAATGCCCTTTAATGGAATTTTTCTAGGAATAAGTAGTTCACTATAGAATCAATGTGTCCGTAACTTAAATAATTTATCAAAAAAAGAATTTCCTTTATTTCTCAGATGGATTCTAGTATCCTCACAACTGGTTGAAGGTAGTTTGGGGAGGCTTTTAGCTTGGGGCGGTCTCCAGACATTTTCTAGATTCAGAATTTCCACTACTACTACGATCCTAAAATAAATTCCAGTTTTTACTTATTTTTTGGAATTTTTCATCTCAAAAATTAAATTTTCAAAAAACTTAATTTTCTTTTTAAGGATTTGGAAAATTCTTTACGTGATCACGTTGCCCATTTAAATTCTGTATATTTTACTTTACATCAACATTATGGATTTGATGCTTTACAACTTCCTGGAGGTAAAAAATAATTTCGAGGAAAAAATATTTTATAAAATAATTTTTAAAGGTGAACTTGTCCATCTTTCACAATTTAAAGGCCCAGAAGTTGTTTTGTTAACTTTTGTTCACAATCCAAAACAACAATATCAACAACAAAAACACCGACTTTCTTTAGACGCCCAACTTTGTGTTTCTCCTGATGATACACATAAACAACAACAATTAACAACAACAACATCTTCAATAAATAATCGTCGTAACAGACTTTTATTGCTTCAACAAAAACAATTACAACAAATTAGGCACAAACAACCACCTTTACTTTCTTCCCTTTCCCCTACTGCTACTTCATCTTTACCTTCACAATTCTCTCAACAACATTCACCACCATCAACTTCGAGTGATTCTGCTTGTTATTCTTCTAATTCTGTTGAACAAGTAAATTTAAAAAATTGTGCTCTATAGGGATGACAGAAAATGCTAAAATTTAGGACTTGAACCCTTAAGAATTTAGTGGAATTTTTTCTCTCTTATTGGTTTTTGGAATAAATTATTCTATGAAAAATTTGGGCATTTTAACTATAAATTCTCAAATTCTGTGAATAATTACAAAAATACTAAAACATCTACTAAAATTTTGATGATTATAGGAGAATCAACGTGGATCTCATCTTAATTTTTAAGTGTATGGGGACATCCCATCTTTCCTTAATCAATTCAATCCTCTCTTATTTCCAGCAACTAGTATCAGGTCCAAGCAGTACAGAATCTTCTTCAATCTCTGCAGCCTTTTCTTCAACTTCTTCATTAGATCCAGTTGAAATGCTTCGCCAATTATGTATTAAATCTTCAACAGACCAACAATCAACAGAACAAATACAAGGGTATGTTGGATGGCTTAAAGAACAAGAAAATGGAGAAAATAAAGATGAAGAAGAAAAACAACGTCTTTTAGAATATCTTAGAGCACAACAAGTTCAGGCACAAGTAAAGAATTATTTAGAAAAAATTTTTAATTGAAAAAATTTTTTCTTAAAAAGGTTCAACAACCCCTTATTATTAATGAAGATAAAAGAAAATATTCAATAAATACATTAACTACAGCTAGTTCTGATGGCTGGAGAAGTGCCCGTTCTGAAACTGTTCCTTCTACAAGTGAACAACAAAATGAAGATAATTGTGAAAAACCTCCAAATAGTAGAGCTACTTGGCCACCTAGATTTCCATTAATGAATAAAACTAGAAAATTTAGGTGTGTTTAAATTAATTATAATTAAAGCCCAATTAATTATTTACTGACTTTGGGCTATTCTGATATGTTGTTACTTAGCTATCTTTATGAAGCCTCTCATTTGTCCCTTTAATCATTAAATTGTCCCTAGTTGGAACGTGAAAACTTAATGTTGATATATAGCAACTTTTATGATCAGATACATTTCATTCCATATTGGTTATAATTAGAGATCAGACTGGAAGGGTCTACGAGAATTCGGATCTCGAAAAATACTTGATCTCTATAACCGCTCTAGTTGTAATGATAGGCATTTCCTCCACCGGATATAAAATTCAATTTAGTATGCCTGCACCTATTTTTATTTAATTATTTACACAAACTATAGAAGGATTTTCAACTTAAATTTTTATTTTTTGAGAAAATAAAATAAATAAATTAATTCCAAAAAAATTCTTTTATAGAAGTATCCAATTTCTTGGCAATCGTCGTTCAACAAGTAGCAGTTCAGTCTCTCCCCACCCAATACCTACAACAACAGCTTTTTTATCTGGAAATCATCGAGGTAATTCTTCAACCTCCCCAAGAGGCATTAGTGGAATTGGTAGACATTCACCCCATTCTCCAAATAGTAATGAAAGGAAACAACAAAAGACTAGAATAGGGATTGGGCCTATGGCTACAGCAGCATGTAGAAATACTTTAAGAATTGGTGGTAGTGATTCTCGAGGGGGCACGAAAAGAAATTTACTTTAAAATTAAAATATTTAAATAATTTTAAAATTTAATTTTTAAATTGTATTTTCTAAATAAAATAAATTTTAGTTTATTTATTAACTATTATTAAGTTAATATACAATTTTTAAAATTTCGGCCATCCCCGTAGATAGATAAGAACATGGTTGCTGATTAAATGACCATGATCGCCGGTTAAAATCAACCGATAGCCTTCTATATAAAACACAATTGTTTAAACGCTAAGAGTGTATTTACAATAGATTTAGTAATTTTGGAGAGAATTCACATATTTAAAAGAATATTTCCCCCAAAAAAATTTTTTTAGAGTTTTTTAAACAAAATAAATTTAAAGAAAAATTTTATTCAAGTTCATAGTATTACCAAATTATCAATAAAGAATTGTTATAAAATTTGATTAAATGCTCCCAGTTCTTTTTAATTTTAGAATTTAGAATGAATATTTTCCCAAAAAAATTTTTTTATTTATATTGGTTTATTGTCCAACATTTGTTTGAAAAAATACAAGGAACGTTCAGGCACTCCACCATTTACCTTAAAATTAAATATCAGAATTTATTTTTTAAATTAAAAATAAATAAAACCGCATGTCCAGCACCAATAACTTTAAATTAAAAAATTACAATTTTTAGGTTATAATTTTTATAAAATACCTGTTATAAATGTCAATCCACCTTCATATTCAGTTTTCATTCCTGCAGTTTGTTTGTCAAAAACCCAGGGAGTTTTTGGAGTTTTAATCTAAATATGGAGTTTTTAATTATCAAAAATTATTTTAAAATATTTTCTCTAATTTTCGGATGGAAGATTGTTAATCGCTCAAACATCCCACGACCGGCTGATCTTTCCATTTTTCCTTTATTTGCTAGGAACTAAGTGTTACATCTTCCTATTTATAATATCCCTATCACAGTTAGGACAAAGTTTATCAAACAAATTTAATATTTCCCACCCTTCGTCCAAGTCTTTCACAAAATCTTTGCCCACTTATATAACTTAAAACCGAGTCTGCTTCTCCAAAATAAAGCAAAACTGGTACTTTTGCATTTAAAACATTTGTAATAAAAGGGGACATATCATCTAAAATTTAATTAATATTTATTTTTGTTTTAAGTGAATTAACCTTGAGTTGTTTCATAATTTTGACTAACTTTATCACTACCAATTCTCCATGTAAAATTTCGTTCAATTGGAATGTGTAAAGCTTTTAAAACTTAAAAAAATAATTATGAATTTACACATTTATATCTTATCCCTTAAGGCCTATGTCTCACCGATTAGAATTTGAAAACGGGTACTTGAACTGTAAAATACTTTAACTTGAAAAATAAATTTCTACCAAAAATAATTTAAATTTGATATGGAATTGGACAAGTATTTTGCAGACAAAACATCTTTTTTTCTTTTTTAGGAGTGGAAAAATTAAGGAAATTAACAGAGAGATGGAGGAGAGATATTTAGTAATTAATAAACTATAAATCAAAAACAAAATTACGTTTCGGGTTGTTCATATAATTATTTCTGGCATCCTCTAAAAATTAAAATTTAAATATTTAAAAAATTATTTTCTACAACATACCGGTAATGCAGGCAGTTGGGGAAGGATCAAAATCTTTGCCAACTTTTGTTAATTTATTATCTATGTAAATATGTAATAGATAAATAAATTTATTTATTTATTAAATACCACAACGTTGAAAAACACTGTATATATTATAAATATTAACATTTGCATTAGAAATTGAATTGGCAAAATTATCTATCTGAATATTAAAAAAATATTTTTTAATAAAATTTTTATAATTTACTGTTTTTTGACAATCAGTTTTGTTATCATCATTGTACACATCCATTATATTGCAAGTTTCTAAACAACAGAATAAATTATTTTTTAAGCAGTATATTATCATTATTGCTAATTCCTCAATAGATTAATTGAGTAATTAACTAATTCCTCAATAGTGTCGAATGTTGAGTGTTAATTTTTGGGGATTTTTATTATAATTGTGGATTCACCTTCTGCATTGTAGAGGGTAAATTGACACCGAACTAGACACGTATGTCATTATTATAGTTCAGTAAGATTTCCGGGCCACCCCATATTTTTTATAATTTAACCAAAAAGATCGCTTACAAAGTATAATCTCTTTAATTATTGTGAATATTTGAAGTATTTTTATTTATTGGCTTATTTTACTTAGTTATTTTCTAAATTTATTTCAATCTATTACCGAGATTGCCATTGCAACATTTATTAATAAAATTTTTCATTTCCCTTTCTTCCACAAATCCATGAAAATACGGATATAATATAGCTGATTCACTAGACGTCTCTACATTAACTAATCCATTGCCGATTAACAAACCCTTTTTGGAAAATTAAAAATTAATTTAAGAAAGTATTATACTTTTAAATTAATTTGATAATTTTTTTGGTTATCGACAATTGTTGATGCAAGCATTGAAGTATAATGCCCAGCAAATGATGAGCCAGCAATATAAAGTCTATTACAACGTAAATTTGGAAATTTTTCATAAAATACTTGAATTGCTTTATAATTCTCTTTTGTTATCTTTTAATTTATTGAAATATGAAAATTGTTTTATTAACCTCTAAACGAAGTTTATTTCAGAGAAAAATTTGAGGAATAAAAATTATTTAAAGGAGTTTTCTATTTTTAATTTTTTTTAAATATTGGATTTATTTCCCTTAGATTGTCTTTTGTATGATACACTACAAAAAATTAATGTACCTATTTTCTGTGAATTTTATAAGGGGTTAATTTTAGATGAGTAATTATTGGTTATTATCAGAGGTTGGATATTTAGCTCCCCTTAAACAGTAACCGTAAACATAAGATTTTAAAAAATAAAATCGTATATGAGCTTCTCACAACCTAAAAACTATTTTAGAAAAATATGTTATAACTAAAGATCTGATCCTCATTTAATCTGATCCTCATTACCTGATCATCATCGTTTGTATAATTTCCGTCTGTTACATAGGAAAAGCCAGTACCAGCAGGAGTTTCGAGAAAAACTTTATGGGCATATTTATTCCATGAATGGACATTTTCAACTAATCTAGTGCCATCATTGCTTACCAAATAAGGGCCCGATTCAAAAAATAATCCCAAAAGAGAGGAGGCCCCAGGGCCGCCATTGAACCAGAAAACCTTTTTTAAATTTATTTTAATAAAAATAATTTCAGAAATAATTACCACTGGGGCTTTATCTGGGTTGCTTTTTGAAGTTACTAGAACATAGTGTAAGAATCTGGTATCAGAAACTTGTAGATATCCTTAATAATTTTTTTTAGTAGAAATTATTTTTTATTTTTATTTATTTTGAGGGTTTATTTAAGAAATCCTGCCGACCGAACTGAAAATCGTCAATAAAAATTTCTATCCGCAAGATTTTGATTTTAGGGAGTCTATAAAGTTATTTTGAAAATTGAGGAGTGTTTATTCTTATTTAAATATTTAATTTTAAAAAACCTGAATAATGCTTAAAATTTAATTTAAAATTAAGTCCAGGCAATTTATCGGTTATTTCATCCAAATTACTTTTAGGGGTTTGGGTAGAATTTAATTGGGGACACAAGAAGGATTTAGTTAAATCAAAAAAAGTAAAAAGAAAATAAAAATTAAATATCCAAATTTTAAACATAATTAGGATTAAAATTATTATTTTTTGTGTTTGGTAATTTTGTTAGAATCCCCCACCTTTAATATATCCAATAAAACTTTAAATAAATTGCCTGAATATACAAATTAATTTTATTTTATTTAAATTTTAATAAAAATTTATTAAAAATTGCGTACTAAAAATTATTTTAAAAATTTTAAAAAAAATTAATTTTTATTTTACTAAATTTAAATAAATATTCAGTTAAATAAACAAAAATTGCTATAAACACGTGAATAATTTTTAAATTTTAATCTAAATATAGTAATTTAGTATGAAGAATATTGGCAAAATTTGAGTATTCTTTTCAAGCTTGGGTTGGCCAAAAATTGGCGTGATTACCAAAAATTGGTTTTATTCTCCAAACATACATATATGGATAATAATTCTCTAAATGTTTAATTTGGTCTCCTTAATTTTTATTATTTTTAGAAAATTTACCATATGTGAGGCAAAAGTCAAAAACCATAAAACTTAGTAAGTATTTTTTTGCTCTGGGTATTTTTTCTAATTGTGTAGTCAATTACAAATGGCTACTCCAAATTTTTAATTGTGTATCCATTGTCGGGTCGAGTCAATTGTAATGAATTTTTTGAGCGCAGTCTATCGAGTAGATTTTTTCAGGTTTATCGAGTTTTCATTCTTTGAGAGGTTGTTTTCGGGGGTTTCTGGCAGATTTTTTTTCTCGAGTCGGGTTAACTAACTTAACTGTAATTTTTTCTGATTTTCTTATGTTATCTTTCAATATTTCATTTAATTCCATTATTAAATTAAATTTCCATTAATCAATTATCGCAAATATTTAGTCTTAATTAATTTTTTCAAAAGATATTAAAAATTCAATTTTATTTATAAAATTTTCCTCAATTTGCCCAAAAAATTTTAACAAAAAATATTTATTATTTTACTTTTTTGTCATTGTATCTCTTAAAATTAATGACCGGTCATTTATTTTATCTACTTAAAGAATATTTTGTTTAACCAAAAGAAAATGAACAGAATAAAAAAGAAAATAAAAATTTAGTTGTGAACGGAGGGGAGGGTGGTGGGGGAGGTAAAGAGAAACTAACCAACTTTTTGGGTGTTAAAAGAAAATAAATTCTTGGAGTACAACGGACAAAGGAATGCGGCGATATGAAAAGTTGATATCTTTTTTAGAGGTTATTTTGGATTTTTTATCTATGAAAGAAAATCTAAATAAAAAAAATAAAAATTATTTTTCTAAATTATATTATCCGAAAACAAAAAAAAGAGAGAAAAGAAACTTTCTCCAATTTTTTCTTACCATCTCCATTTTTTAGTTTATTTTTTGAAATTTCTTTAATATTTTTGTATTATTTTTTAAGAATTATTTTAATATTTTATTTTATTATTTTAATTTATTTAAATACCCATTTAATATCCCCTTTATTGTTGTCAATTCTTTTATTTAAAATATTTTAACGGTGTCAGCGAAACTCAACAATTGGTCATTTATTTCATTCATTTTTAGTACTTGCATCGTTAATTTCTCCAAAATATTTATTAGAGAGAGAAAAATATTATTATCTAAATATTTTATAAATTTTTAAATTGCGCAGCCCAAAAGCACATTTAATGCAAAAATAAAATTACTATTTAAAAGTAAAATCATTAAATGATTTTTAAATTACGCAGTGATCTACCACCATTTAAAGGAATTTAAAATTATTTTTTAAATAAATTTTGTTAAAATTTAAAAATTAAATCAAAAAAATTTTAAAAAATTCCCTAGAGAAAATTGAAAAGGAAAAAAATAAAATTGGATTGAAATTGAAGCTTTATTTTCTCTCTTAATTTTGCAAAAATAACGCCTTTTTATTCACTCCAAAAAAGGAAAAGACTTTTGATTTGTCGAGAAATGCCTAGGAAATTTTAGAAAAAAATTTTTATTTTTTAGTCCAAATATTCTCTTCTTCAATATAAAATATTTAAAGAGCAAGTATTCATCAATAGTCCATCCATCCAAAAATAATTTTTGGCCAGAAAAAAAGAGGGCGAAACATTAGAAATACATTGTCTACTACTTTAATGCTTCCCTCAAAATAAACTAAAAGTTGAATAAAAGCGGGGTGACTAACGAGAAAAAAAAGAAAGAAAAGCAAAATTGCTCCCTAAATGTTTAACAAAATTTATTTAAATTGATTTTTATTTTTAAATTTATATTTTAAATTAATTAGGATAAAAAGACAGATCCATTTTTAACAATAAAATTTTAAATAAACTTTAATTGATAGAGTATATTTTTGTTGAATTTAATTATTTTTGTCATTATAAATTTAGAAAAAATTTTTTTTATTATTAAATGTTATTATTAAATTAATAATTTTTCTCTTCAATTTTATGAAAATTTAAATTCCAAATATATTCGAAATATGTATTTTTGTATATATTTTTATATATTTTATCGCTTTATTTTTAAATTTTAAATTTATTTTTTATATTTCCGTTTCCCCCCTTTAATATTTTGCATATTTTCATGGCTTTTAATACCAAATTTTCTTCATAAACCAAAATTGTTAGTTTAAGTAAAAGAGGAAATGTCCGAACATCTGCTCCAATTTACCAAAAATTCACTTGTTTGTATATTTAAATTGAAGAAAGAATCGAAAAAAATTTTTTTATTAAAAAAGATTAAAAATTTTTATAGAATTGGAGCTCTATTTTAGATATCCCTTGATTCTCAAAAAATTAAAGATCTTGAAAAGTTCATCTAAAGTTATCCAATAAATGATTATTTAATTTTTAATATTGTTTTTTTATTTTTATTTATTTAAAACAAATACCGTAAATGCTCTAATATATGCCCACAGAAGGAGACCTATCGAAAAATAGAAGCCCAGTCTCTAATAAAAGCCCAGTCTCCAATATAGGCCCGCTAAAATGACCCATTGGAAAACATAAGCCTACCGCTTATATTAAAGCATTTTCGTTATATTTTACTTAATTTTTTTTAAATTAAAAAAAAATCTGTGAAAATTAGCTAATACTCCAATACAAATTTTCGCAACAATTCCCAAATTTTAGTATTTTTTATTAACGCTAAAAAATTTTCCAAATTATTTTTAAAAACATTTTTTAATTTAATTTTCCACAAAAAAGACAACCGTTATTTTACAAAATTTGTAATTTCCTTTCCATCCTTTGTGGTTATTAAAAGAAAAAAAAAGAATTTAGAGGACAAGTAAAAAAAGGATTTTTTGGGGACAAAGCTAATCTTCTTTTTTTTTCTTCTTCCATTTTTTACCCCTCATTTACTCAAAACCTCTTTGTTCTTTTTACATCCATTTTACTATTCTAGTAGATTTTTTTCTGGTTACATGCATTTTTTAGTTGATACATATTATGTTGTCTAAGAATATTTTTGTACAAAAAATTAGAAATAAATCTTTTAATCTGTCCGAAAATTTTTTTAATTTTTGGAAATTAAATTTGTAGCACTTCCTCCTTTCCTGTCCCCTTAATAATTATTATTATCTATTAAAAACAATTTAATATTAACTTTATAGTCAATTCAATATTTATTTTAAACATTTATGAATAAATAATTTCTTTTCTTGTCTATTCAATCCTCCCTCACATCTGTACATATTTTGAATAATAAAAAATAAAATAAAATATTAAGCGTGCCAAGCAACGAAAAATAAAAAATAAATTTTACTAGAAAATCATTTGGATAAAAAATAAAAGTGGCTGCTTATTTCCTCCCTACTTTGCCGTCCATTTTTTAATATTAATAATGCTTCTGTTTTTAATTAAAAATTGGGGGTTTTTTGCATTTGAAATTTTTTGAAGAAAAAAATTTTTAAGTAAAAGATAATATAGAAATTTCCAAATTTAATGAGTAACTATTTAAGGATGCTTTTAAATCTTTTAAAAACTTAAAAAATTCTTTTGAAACATAATTATAAGTTGACTGTAAATTCAATATTTTCTTCATAATAATTCTACAAATATCCAGCTAAAAATAGTAAATTCTATTATTACCTGAGACTTAGGCTAATTTGTTAATTAAAAAATGCTGCTAACAAAAACTTTTTTTCATTCAAAAATTTTTTAGAATAAAAATTGTCAAAATTTAGAATAAAAATTGTTAAAATTGTCAAAAATTTTTTAGAATAATATGGCGGCACTTTTTGATGCCTCCACTCCAGCTACTCCATATTTTTCTTCAACATCTTCCTCTTCTTCATCCCCTTCCTCTTCTTCTTCCTCCTCCTCTCATTTTTCCCCTTCAAATAAACAACAATTAGAACAAATAAATAATCGAAGTAATTCCCCCAATTCTGATCATTACGATACTCCTTGGGAATTTAAAAATCGGACATTAGCAGCAATTTTAGAAAATCAACGACAGGAACAACAACAACAATTAAAACATTTAGAAAAACAAATACAAATTAAAAATCCAAAAAATAATGAAGGTAATGATAAAAAATAAAAGAAAATTAAGTTTTTAAAGAGAAAAATATTTTTATTTGTTAAATTCAGTGGGGAAATTAATAGGTATCAAAAAAAATTTTACTAGTACCTGTTTATGAACAAATTGAAATTTTTGAATGATCTTTAGAATGGCATAAAGGCATTCGATTGCGAATGGCATTCGATTGCATCTATATCCATCAAGATATTCCATTTTTAGTCTTGCCACTATCAAAAATACACCCCAAACAAGATTCTGAAGATTAGAATATTTTATATTCTTGGAATCAAGATTTTCTAATTGTTTTATTTATAATGGGAAGATCAGGTCCTCCTATCATTAAATAAAATACCACAATTGTCTCATATTGAGACCGGTCTAATAAAGTAAAAAATAAAAAAATCACTTATCGATGTTGGGGTAGTTAAGGGAACAATAACCTGGGTATCTTCTGATATGAATCCATTTTTAATCTTTTATTCACGGATGGATTTAACCTCCTTTACTTAATTTTACAAATTTTTTCGATGAATTTTTAATTATTTGTCCTTAAATTAATTTCTAAAAATATTTTTCTCTTTAACGGAATATTTATTATTAATTTTATTTTTTAAAGTAAATATTCCAAATTCCAACAACAACAATCAAAGAATTTTAAATAATGGAAATGAAAGATCTGAGGGTGAAGCAACAGTAGAACATGGAAACCGTTTGAGTTTTCCAGCTAATTTCTCCAAAATGGAAGAATTAAAAACGAAAAATTTCTCCAACCAACCAATTCAACAACAACTAATTTTAGAGGATAATATTAAAACAAGAAAGGGAAAAATGAAAAATGACGGGGTAAAGATTTAAATAAATTTTTTCAAGATAAAGAAACAAAATAATGTGATCTAAAAATATATCCTTTTTGAATTTTTAACAAAGTTTTTTAAATAAAAGTGTTTTTGTTCGGCATAGGTAGGCTTTCTAAGGGTGGCGACCGTTTTACCATATTTATAGAGGATTTTCCTTATTTTTGAGGGAATGTTCCCTATTTTGGTGATTTGGAAACGGCCACCCTGTTAGAGAGTGGTATTTATTTAACGAACAAACTTCTATCCGAATTTGGAATTATTGGAGTGGGGCTTATGAAAGATATGTAAATATTCTAAAACATTTTTATCATTTAACAGCAATTAAATTCCAATCTTCAACCAAATAAAAATCTGGAATTAAAAATTAAAAACAACAAAGAATCTCCTTCCCCTCCACCTTTACCTGCTCACAAAAATAATTTAAAACAACTACAAAACAATAACAATATTAACTTACCTTCTAAATCTCCTTCAAAACCACCATTATCCCCTTTAAAATCAAACTTTTTTCTTCATTCACCAAATAATTTAAATAATCAAAATTTGATAAAAATTGGAGATAAACAACAACAAAAACTAATAAACGAAAGAATTAAAAGTTTAAAGTTGGTATTTTTTAAAATAAATAATTATTTATTATTCTAATTTGTTTGGTAGAAGAAAATATTTTTTGTAAATTAAATTACCTAAATTTTATTTTTAAAAAATAACAAATACTTTTATACTTTCTTAAATTTTTTTAGTTCTAATTTACAAAAAGAAACAAAAGAAGAAAATAAAAATAATATTATTATTATTAAAAATCAAAAGCAATTATCACCAAATATAAAACAAAGATCCGCTCCTTCACGTAAATATCCTCTCGTTAATTTAACTACAAAAAATAAAAATGAGGTAATCACTCTTTTTAGGGTTTTACTTTTATTTTTTGGGATTTTGTTTAATACTCCTTTAATATTTGCTTAATTGAATTTTATTAAAAATTTATTAGGGTATCATTGAATATTAGAAACCGGACTGGGATTTTTAGAGATATTCCGGACTGGGATATCTCGAAAAATACCTATCTTGATTACCTAGACTTTCGTTGGAAATCTCTTCTCGGTCAGGTTTTACTAGAAATTAATGCTTCGATTTTTTAGTTATCTTTTTATTCTTCCACTTTCATTTAGTAAAATCAAAATTTAAGATTCTAACTTTGAAGTATTAAAATAATTTATTTCAAAAGGTCCTCACATTTTGTCAAGAAAATTCATTTGGTGAAAAAGAAAAGTTAAACAACAATTTAATACACGAAAATATGGAAAGGGCAGAGGCTGAATTATTACTTGGTGCCATGCCTTTAGGTTCTCATTTACTTAGAAGAAGACCGGACAGAAGTTTAGCATTATCACTTAAAGCAAATGAAGGTAAATTAAATAAATTTTAAATATTTTTTGACTACTGATTAATGTTGACCGGTATCGGAATCCCGATCGGATTTGGGCGCGATTATCCCTTTAATTTTTAATTAAAAGCACTATACTAATTTTAAAGGTGTATTGCACATCAAATTAGAATATCGCTGCGACCGTTGGGTACTTGGAGAAGGACCTCGTTTTAATTCAGTTGTTGAAATGTTGAAGGCCTATCGTCGTGTTGAATTGCCAGTTAGAGGTGCTGAGCAAATTCGTCTTACAATTCTTTTCCGACCGGGGGATATGCCAGGAAGGGGGTTATTATTGCTCTAAATTTTGATAATTATGTGATTGAATTATAGTGTAGAAATTAATTTTATTTTTCTATTTCATTTATTGAAAAATTTTTTTTAATAAATTGTATAAAATTAATTTTTGTAATATAATATCTGATTATGTTCATTATTAGTCTCTGATATTAAAATCCACAAATTTGAGATATTCCTCTAAATGTCTGGCCTTCTGAAAAAGCCTTTTTTATTTCCCGAAAAAGCCTTTTGAATTAGGAGCCTTTCTGAAATCTCTTGTCTAACTGTATTGATATTAAATGTCCCTGAATAACTTCTGCAAAAAAGTTGAAGGTATTTAAAAAATCAAAAATTACTATAATACATTTTAACTAATTTATTTTTACATTCCCCATTAAGTTTATTAAAAATTAAAGAAAATTTATTTTATATACTATTTGAGTTTTTGGCAAAAAATAAATTAAAATATGACAATCATATTTACTGTCTTTCCTTATCTTTTTGGTAATTGTTCATGTTTAATCTTTGTTATAATACTTTGTGTTCAAAAAAAGTTATTAAAAATTATTTTTCATTTATTAAAGATTGTCTAATTTGGTAAAAATAGTTTCAATTTTATTAATGTTGTCTATTATAATTTTTTCTTGAAAAACTTGTAATCATTCGATACAAAATTACTGATAAATTAATTATTTATAAACTTCGAATTTTAATAAATATTTAGATTATTATTTTTAAAGATTGTGAATTATGTAGGTAATTATAATATTTTCTCTAATTTTATGTTAAATCAAAAATTATCTTATTAATGATTAAATAATTAACTACTTAGTAATCATTCTTTACCTTAATATTTTTAAAAAACATTTGTCCCCCTTATTTTTTAAAATAAATTCATGAGCTCTTGAACTTTTTTCAAATTGATGTTTATTAGTCTAATCAACTAGTCATTTCAAATTACCTTCTCAAATATCCTTCTTCTCACATTTTTCAATCAACAAATGTCATTTGTTACTTGCCCTCCTTATTTTTTTGTTTTCCACTAATTTTCCCAGACGAATTCCAATTAATTTGTGATGGTTTAGTTTTTAGTCTTTATAAGTTTAAATATTTTTTTAAGTTTTTTAGTCTAAATTTATGTTCATTTATTTTTCTTATTTACTTTTAAAATTAAACGAAATTTTTAATTTTAAAGGTTTTGTAGCAGAGAATTAATAAATTATTTAAATATGGACATTTAGCCTTTAAGTGAAAATCTGAAAATTTTTCTATTGATTTACTTCTTCGATCTACTCTTATCCACTTAATCCTCACATCTTCCTTGTAATCTTAATAGATTTCCCCTTGCCTTTCCTTTTAAATTTTTAGTTTTTGCATTTATTGGCATTATGTAGAAGTTTGGTTTTGTTGGCAAAATGTCTTTTTTTATTCGGAAAATTTTTTTAGCTTATCTTTTAAAAATTCCTTTTGGCCTATTTTTTTGCAGGTTTTCTCAAGTCTGATAAAATCAATGTTTTCTTTGATTACAATTCCATGTAGATTTTGTAAACGATTAATTAATCTTAAAATTTTTTTAATTTATAGATTACAAGTTCTCATTCTTTTTTTTTTAATTTTTTCTTTTAACTGCCCAGCAATCTCTACTTGTGACATTTAAAATTTGTCATTGAAAAAGGAAATATTCTGTACAGTTTTGCATTTAAAACTTTTAAAACTGATAAAATCTCGTCTAAAAATATAAAATAATTTTCTCTTCTCTTTGTGTATACAATGGTTATTACTCTCGTCTCTTCTCATTTTCGCGCCGCCAATAAACTTACACCAGCATTGCTTATATTTGATTCATTCTTTCATTCAACAACAAAACCAATAAATCGTCAATTATTTCAGACAACACCTAAAATATTTAAACGTTCATTTTCTTTATCAGTTGCTGCTATGCAAAAAATTAAAGTTGAAAATCCAGTTGTGGATCTGGATGGAGATGAAATGACTAGAATTATTTGGGCTGGAATAAAGGACAAAGTATATTTATTTTTTTGTTTTTAAATAATGTTGATCCTAATAGATTTTTGGGTACTCCTGCCGTTTAAGGGGGACGCTGTTCTCTGACCATTATGAGACCAGTATATTCTCTTTTATATCAATCAAAATTTATCCTTCTTTACTCCTTAACTAATTTTTATTTTTCACGAATATAATGTGGTTTAATTGAAATTTTTTGCCAAAATTATAGTCATAGAAAGGCGGCCCCCTTAAACTGTACGAGTACCGATTTTTGCCACAAATAAGAGTCTCAAACTCCTGTTTTCTATCAATTTTTCTAATTTCAGTTAATTCTTCCTTATTTGGATCTCGATATCAAATATTATGATTTGAGCATCGAAAATAGAGATGCAACGAATGATCAAGTTACTTTTGATGCTGCAGAGGCGATTAAGAAGTTTAGTGTTGGAATTAAATGTGCAACAATTACGGCTGACGAAGCCAGGTTTTTTAGTGTTTTCTAAATGTAATTTAAAATATAATTTTAAGGGTAAAGGAATTTAATCTTAAAAAGATGTGGCCTAGCCCTAATGGAACAATTAGAAATATTTTGGGTGGAACAGGTTTGAACATAGAAATTTAATAAAAATATCAAAACAATTTTAAGTATTCCGTGAGCCAATTCTTTGCAAAAACGTTCCTCGTATTGTCCCTGGTTGGCGTAAGGAAATTGTCATTGGAAGACATGCATTTGGAGATCAATACAAAGCTACAGATATTGTTGTTCCAAAGGGATCCAAATTTGAAATAAATATTCAACATTCTGATGGAAAAGTTGAAAAAGTTCCAGTTTTTGATTTTGCCGATTCTGGTGGAGTTGTTCTTGGAATGTAAGTTTGTTTAAATTATTTTATACCGGGGTTTTCTAACAAAGATTAAACCGGTTTTTAAATTGTTTTTATGTCTCCATTTATTTTTTGAGAAAATTCTCTAAAAATAATCAATTTAATTTTAGTTTAAATTTTTATTTAAAATTTAGGTATAATACAGACGAATCAATCCGTGGTTTTGCCCATTCTTGCTTCCAATATGCTCTGATCAAAAAATTTCCTCTATTTTTGAGCACAAAGAATACAATTCTTAAGCGTTATGATGGGCGTTTTAAGGATATTTTTGCAGAAATTTTTGAGAGGTTTTTAAGTTTTTTATTATAAAGATTATTTTTTAATAATTTTGTAGAGAATATAAAGCAAAGTTCGATGCTTTGGGTGTTTATTATGAACATCGTTTAATTGACGATATGGTTGCTCAAGTTTTGAAAGGAGAAGGAGGATTTGTTTGGGCTTGCAAGAATTATGATGGGGATGTTCAAAGTGATGTTGTTGCTCAAGGTTATGGATCTCTTGGATTGATGACATCTGTTTTGATGTGTCCAGATGGAAAGACAATTGAGGCGGAAGCAGCTCATGGAACTGTTACTCGACATTTTAGAGAGCATCAGAAGGTAATTTTTTAATGTGATTGAGATCTGGGTGTAACGTGCTTTGGATTAGCTTAACAATATGTTCTTAAAAGATCTGGAGACCAAGTTTCAGAACATTGCCATTAAACAAATCCTTTTTCGAAATGGGTTGTTGTGGTTCATTTTTTCGATTATTATATTTTTCCCTATTAAAGCAAAAACAAATTTATTTTAAGGGAAATCCAACTTCAACAAATCCCGTTGCTTCTATTTTTGCTTGGACTCGTGGATTAGAACATCGCGGAAAACTTGACAAAAACGATGCTTTGGTTAATTTTGCTCGTTCATTGGAACAGGCTTGTGTCCTTACAATTGAAGAAGGAAAAATGACAAAAGATTTGGCTATTTGCATTCACGGGCTTAAAGGAGCGAAAGAAGGGACATATTTGTACACAATGGATTTTCTTGAGGCAGTTAATGAAAAACTTAAACGAATTCTTAGTATTTAAATTTTAAAGAGTATAAGGCTCAATAATTTTAATGTTTTTGTTGAACTTTATTTAAAATGAATGCAATCCTTTTCCTCTTTTTTTATTATTTTCCTCAAAACTTGACACCTTGTTCTTGGCTTGTAATTTTGATTTTTAGCTCTTTTTAATGTAATGAATAAATAAAAATTTTAATGAGATTGCATTCTTTTAAGTAAAGTTCTTTTTACAGGGTAGCCCTTCTTTATGAATTATTTTAAGCTATATTGATTATTTTGCTTGATTTTTGGGCATAATCCTCGTATTATTTAATTTTAACCTCCTTTTAATACTTAAAAATTTCCATCTTTGTTTGTGTCTGTTCTTTATGTCTTTGCCATTTTTAACTTTGTGTTTATAGATTTTGCAATAAAGAAGATAAAATTTGAAATGGAAGGATTTTTGATATATATGTAGAAGTTCTAAGGGCTTCAATTTATTTTTTATTAAAAAAATTTTTACTGTCAGGACTCATATTATTATTATTAAAAATTAAATTTAGCTCAAAAATTAACCATCAAAATTGTAAATAAATGAATGAAACTATCAAAAACGAAGCAATGTTTTACACTTTTATCAATTTTTGTCTTACTAATTGTTTTCATTATTTACTGGAATAATTCTTCAAATTTCTCAAAAATATGTAGCACAATATTTACTCTTCAACAGCAACAATCTCAAAGAAGAAAAATTGTTATTTATAATCGAGTAAGTGTTTAAAAAATTAAATTTTTTGGAAAGAAATCCTTTCTTTTAAAGATTCCAAAAACAGCCTCTACAACATTTACAAATGCTGTAGCTTATGATTTGTGTCAGAGAAATGGATTTCACGTTGCTCATCTTAATTTAACCAAAAGTCGAATGCAAATGAGTAAAATAGATCAATTTTTGCTGGCTAAAAATATAACGGAATGGATGGATATTCAACCATTATTTCTTCATGGACATTTTTCTTTTGTTGATTTTCAAAGGTTTAAATTAATTTTTATAAACTATTGGTGTTAATTCTTGCTGAAAAATATTTTCGTATGAATTAACCGTTAGATCTTT